CCCTGTTAAGTGCCCGTTGTACGAGTTGAAGCATAAGCATCATTTTGATCGGTATCAAAGTCGGGAAACAGGAAGCTAGGCTTGGAGATGAGGAGGACTCCGATCATGGCAAATATGATGGAAACGTACTGGACCAAGCCACATGGTTCACCGAGAAACAGGTAAGCAAAAAAATTGACAAACACCGGTGACGAAAAAATTATTGACTGTGAATCACCTAATGGTATCAATTTAATTGACACATAGGTTAGTATTAGACCAATACAACCGGTGAGACAACGTAAGGCCAGAGGAACTCTTTCGGATGGGATCGATTTCAGATCATGTTTGCATAAGATTACCACAATGGAAAAGGCTATCAATGTGATGAGTGATCTTAAACGAAATTGAAAAGGTAAAAAAGGTAAATATATTTAATTTTGTTTCTATAAATTTCCTGAAAATTTATGACCAACTTATCGAAACAAAAGTCAGATCATTCTGTGTTCCAAGCTATAAATCATCAGATTTCCAATTTCGATATTACAGAATTGTTGTCAAGTTAAAATCTACTGTTGAAATGTAGCTCAGAACCTTTCAGTCAATTTCAATGTTTCTATTTTTGGTTTGATTTAGTTCAGTATTTCAACTTAAAATTTTTACGAAGCATTTTTTGATTAAATACTATATATTATTAATAGATTATCAAATTAATGAGTTGAAAAAAGATGATCTTGCCAAATCTCCTGGTGAATAATTTTACTAATCTTTTTTTTTGGTTTTTAACAATGATATCAGGTCTGGAGCAATGCCGAGTTCAAAGAAAATACATTCTCACACTGATTCATGTTCAGTTGAAACTAGCGAAGGTCAAAAAAGTTCAATCATCATTCATATTTCAATGAAATTATTAATGTCAATAATTTGATATAGCAATGCTGTATATGAAAAGCTTACACAAAAATCGTCACTGTTTGTACAACAAAAACTAAAGAAATTATGGAAATCAATATCAATTAGTCAGTTGATACAATATGTATGACAATTTGATCAAAAGCTATGGCTATAACTAAGATTCTTCATAAGTTAATTTATTCAAAGATTTTTGGCTAAATTCAATCAATATCTGGTAAAGATGAATCTGGACAATGTTCAATTAAACTTGTAAGTAATATGTTTATGTTTAATATTGATTCAAACCAATAGAGTATTCATCTCTTCACCTGTGAATAGATAAAACTGTAACCTTGACACATTATTTTGGACAAAATATGACAATAATATGTTTAGCTTGATTGGAACCCTCTTAATCATTATATTGTACTATTTTTGTTTCGCAAATATTTCAATTTTAGACATTGATTGTTGGCATTTGAAGTAATGGCAACTTCGACGTATTTCACTCCACCTGATACAGCAATTTCAATACCAGAAACTGATT